CATCAATTCCCCCCAGTGTAGTTTATATAGACCGGGCAGATGATTATTCCTTATGGGCCAATAAAATAATTAAAAACTGTTGTTGTGAACAGATTGGTTCAGAAGGTTTTCAGAAATAGATTTTAATTGATATGGTGGAAAGGATATCGAGAAAAGGAAAAAGGAACCTCTTATGTACAGTCGATAAAATGGAGAGACCATGAAATATAATTAGTTCATTGTCGTTTTGCTTCCTTCACATGTCATCCATGCGATTTATCAACTTGTCAAAATAAAAACTTTGGAGGTACAGGTCAACTATTTTCCTAGGGTTATAAAAAATCATGAAACAAAAATCCAGTAATATGTGGATTGTCTCTGACTCCATCATATTTCTTCGTGCTATCAAACAATCAAAAGTAGTAGCTTATTAATTCTATCCAGAGCCTTTTAAGATGGTATGTTTTAGAAAGTATAATACTGCGAGATTAACCCATGGTGATTACCTAGCCATATCATTATTGTCATATAAAAAGTGTTTGGCCTCCCTTCGTTTTTGACTAGTGTAAAATATTTCCTTGGGAAAGCTCGTTAAAAATTCTTGAAATGTGCATGAATTTAGAAAGTACACGTATGTACACTTGGATAAAATGATTCTGGCAAAAATGGCGTGTAAGTACAGTTATCACTAAATCTTGTTTTTCAAGGTTTTTAATGTCAGCGTGGGAGAACAGTCACGACATTTATTACAGGCATTTATTAATATATGTAACTGAGAATTGACAAAATCAAGATAAAAGAGGCACCAAAGGCCATTCAGTGGCATCGATGAATATGTGTAATTCAGAAATGACAGAAACAAGATAAAACAAGCACCAAAGGCCATTCAATCTAATTTAAGCCCGAGAAATTCATATCGAACATTTTCTTTTTGTGCAAAAAGATGCACCTGCCTTTTTTCCTACGTTAAATTTGTTTTCATCGTGATTACGGTAAATACTTCTGATATTTATAAATCGATCCGGGAAAGGCATTTGGATAAATAAATTGAACGCTAGGTGCCCTCGACATTATTCACCACTCGAATACTATCAGAAGTGCGATCAAAGTCCATATTTCACGCTCATAATTACCTTTAATAAAACTAAATTTGACCAATGATGACTTTCCATATCAGGACTGAATTGGTAGGCTAGGGAGTATCACTTCAGAATTAAAAAAAAAAAAGAGTTCAACGTTTTCCGTATTCCCGCCTTTTAATTTCGGAACAGGGTACTTCTGACGTGTTTTTACTATAAGTTTCTCGGCGTAAAATGGAACATGCAATGCCACGTGTCCGTTTGTCCCAAGGGCTACAAGCGAGGGTCGTTTTTAGACAAATTGACGAAACGTTATATTTTTCAGAAGATTCACACAGTTTTTTGTCACTTGTTGGAAGATTGCCAGCTAGATAATTTACTTTATGTGCCATAAATAGAGTTTAATGTTGTTACCCTTTTCTATTGATCTCTTTGAATTGGGTTAAGAAAGATTCTTGGTAGTTTTCTCCAATTCTCCTGACTATGCTTATGTGACGAAAACAACTTTGTGAGCTCCAAGATCCGTGAAATTGTGTGGAGACGCATAAAAATTGACAAGGACTGTGAAATAAGTTATCTTGATTATCACCCGAACTTTGCATAATGTGACTTCTAAGAGCTATAAAATAAATTGGAATCTATTTCTGTGGAGTCATTATTCACGTTTAAAGGGACGGTGCATGGACTTTCGGAACACGTCCATTATCATTATTAAAAGCTCATACCAAACATTACTCGGTCGGGTTTTAAACTCAAAAATACTTTGAAAATTTACACAACACTTATCTTGACCTGACGCAGTGTACTGTTTACCTGTGTGTAGTCGCTGCATTTCACGTCGCGTAATGATGATGCAATTTTGAACAGATGTGGTGATTTCATATTATCTGTAAGGAGGGCGCCGCGCCTTGGGACATTGGTAAAGGCTCTCATTCCAAGAAAAAAACCTGATTTTCCCGAACCATATTCCCCGAATGGTCTCTTTAGGGGCGCGCGTCAATTATACTGAGGAAGCGCTTCAGGTAGTCAATGTGTTTGCACGCAAAACTATAAACATACGTACTTAATCAGTCCAACAGCGAAAATAAACATGCTGATCGTAACATTTCGTAATAGAAGATAAATGTGACAAATTTTCAATGATGTTTACAAATATTTGCTATATTCACATGGTTGTCTTTATTCCTGACTATTTTAAATCACACAGATTTTTTCTCTGCTCAACAAAACCGTGATTATTGGGGGGGGGGGGGGGG